TGATTGCTCACCTATCATCGTAAATATTTCAGCCAATCTATCGACTCTCCCATCCTATGGAAAGACCTTTCTATCAGTGTGTTTAGTGAGATCAGCTGGTTTCTCTGTAGAGTGCAAGGTCGAGATTTTGAACACCACAGTAATACTCGACTTGTTCACTCCATTCATTATAATTGAACCCATTAAACTTAATAACAGATGAAGTGTGAAGAGCAGATGTACAAAACAAAAATTACGTTTATACATTAATGCTTGAGTTTTAAACCTTAAAATGATTTCACATTCAGTATTAAACTTTATATTTATTAAAACATAAATATATATTGAAAATCTCCTTTGGAGAAATAACAAAACATATATGTAATAGTCACTACTCATAATGAAAAACATATAAAAAAATATAAAGAAATTGGGCCCAAAATTTTCTTTATAATATATATATATATATATATATATATATATAATATATCTTACAAACAAACATATTTACATAAATTATAATGTGTACAAAAGTCATCAAAAACATAATAGACAGTGTAACGACTTCTCCTCGAGCACCGACGTCCAACGACCACGTCCTCACCTAGATCCTGCAAAACATAGGAAAACACGGGGTGAGACACAAACGATGCTCAGTAAGTAAATCCTCTACTCATCTATCCCGAACTCTCTCTCTCTAATTCTTCCTTACTACTCCTCATCAATTTCTCTTTGGGTACTTCTCTCTCTCTTTCTCTTTCTCTTAGAACTCTTTCATTACCTCTCTTTAGTAAGTCACGACCCCATTACCAGGGCACGGCCGGGACTCACTCCCACTCTACGTGACTCTACTCATTCTACCGATCGGACTCGGTTATGCATGGATTCGGAACCCTTGGCCATGTGAGTATATAATCTCTCTCTCGGGTTACTCGGGTATAGCCCTCATCCGCATGCATTCTCACGGGCTACACACTTCTCTATCTGGTATCATGCCGCTCTCTCAATGCGGCGTACATACGGGAATACTCTCCCATTACTCACGGGTTCCCCATCGCACAACCTGCTCTATTTCTTCTTAACTCTTAAAGAACTTATACTCAAATTCTTTACTAAATCCAAGCTACTTCTCAAGTGTATAAACAAAGGTGTAGAGCTAGCTCATGCTCCCTAATGCACTAATGAAATGCCAACTACAAAATTCCCAAAACCGTCTTTCTGCACAGGTCACAAAATGGCCATAATTACGTTATACACCTCGGATTGCTACGGTTTTGGTCTCGTTTTAAAACTTAGAAACAGGGCTATAACTTCTATGTTTTGGTTCAGCCATTCAGTCCGTAAGATACCCAAAAATTCTAGAAAGTTACGGCAGTGAAGGGCAGATTTCTCCTAGCATTCATCAAGCAACTCATGTGCATATAACACTCTACTAAAATATACTATACTTCATTCTCTAGCCATCCCAATTGGGGAAAAACTCCTCAATACTCATAATCCCTTTCAAGAAAAGCACTTCCAAATCTGTTTACAACATCTCTCAAACTTCATCTCAAATTCATTTCTCAATACACATTAAAACACTTCTCATACATGGAATCTATCCAACAACTACAAAATAGTCTACTAGTCAACTCAATTTTCTCATCAATCATACTACATACTGATCATGCATAAATCTCTACTCAAAAGCTTATCAAAACTCAAGTTGGTTGGATTTACTTACTTGTCAAAAAGGTGACTTCTTTAGCACTTTTCCTTTCCTTGTTGTTTTGTCTCTTCTCTACAATCAAAACAACAACAAGAACAAAAAACCAAATAAGACTTCACTATAATATAAGAAACTTACATCTAAAGAAGCAATCCTACCTTAGGATGCTTTACTTGAAATCTCTACCAAAACCCTCTTAATTCCTTAGAAATCTTGGGAGATTGGATGAGGAAAATGAGAGAACTTAGGCAAATGGAAGAGGCGGTGGAATGAAGTAATAAAGGGGTTTCTACACTCTAACTCTTTTTAGCTCATATTATAAGCAGCATTTCCCATTTTGCCTTTGCTCTTCCTTGGAAATTCCATCTATATCCTTTGATTATTACAAATACACCCCCAACCAAACACAATCTCTACTAAATTTCCTTTTATTTTACTCCCCACTTTTCCTACTAATTAGGGGTAGAATGGTCATTGTGCCCCAAAAGAAGAATTCTCTAGAAAACTCAAGAAACTTTGTTTTAGGTTCGTCGCCGCGGCGAAGTATTTTCCTTCTCCCCGTCGAAATAGGGCAGAATCTACCCTGGGGTGCAGCTCCTCCCTCGCCGCGGCGAAGCTTCTCCTTCGCCCCGACGAAGATTGGATTTTCCAAATTTCACCAAAACTCAACCAATTTCAAGGCAACCATTCAACCAACTCAACATACCAACTAACCATGACAACAAACAAACGCAATTAAATCTGAAAAAGTAAACTTTTAACTAATACAGTAAATCTTAAATACGTACCTCAAGTGGGATATTACAACGATAATTAAACTTAATTGATTCAATCTTTTATAAGTTTTCTTAATTGGTTTAGTTAGACATGTTTATTATCTTTGGATATACTAAACACACCTAATCAAGTACATTAATTGACCATAATTATGTTCATAATTATAGGATTAACTAATCTACCTTTGGGCGATCCTTAACTATCCTATAAAATATAAACTTCAAATTACTCATGTCCAATACATTATGTCATCTCATTAAAGCATCTAATGATCATGAGTAATTGAATCTCATTTAGTTTGATATTTATGGGATAATCATTTTAATTTGGCCACTTTGGTGACTAACAAATTATACATAATATAGTTATCAAACTTAAATAATAACTTTAAGTTTGTCATACTTATCTTTCTCCAAAGAAAATTATACTTTAGAAACTTATATACATTTCACGTGCCTAAACGCACATTAAGGACAAAATTGGGTTGATTCGACCCTCATTGTTTATTTTGATTGTCACCATTAACTTTGACGGTTGATCTTTAGCTTTAACGGTTGACCGTTAACTTTAACTATTGACTGGTTCAGTCAACGGTTTGAACCGGTTTAACCCGTTGACCGGTTTGGTTCACCTTTTCGGATCCTAACCGAGTCGATTTGACCTACTTTTCTGGTTCAGGTCAACCATTTTAACTTATTTGGGTTTACCCGTTTGACCAAAAAGGGTTGGGATTCTTTATGGGTTATGGGTTGAGCTTCTTTATGGGTTATTCTTAATGGATTTGAAAATTGAGCTCACTTAATAAGGCTTTAATCATTGTAGTGGCGGATCCAGCCACTTTTTGGCCCACCCTCAAATTTTTTTTTTTTTAATATTAGTATGTATAATTTATATATTTTGACCCACCCTAACCAAAATATTAATGGACAAAAATAGTAATGTATAATAAATTTTTATTTTGGGCCACCCTAAAAGAAATTCCTGGATCCGCTACTGAATCATTGGGTTGGGTCAATATTTTATGGGTCAATTATTGACCTGAATTTCTGGAAAATTAGGTAAACTTCATATTCCAAATTTCTGGAATTTTTTTTTATTGAAAAAAACTTCTGGATTATGAAAATTTGCATTTCAGAATAAGAAAAAAAAAAAAAAAAATCTACCACAGCCTTCCAATTTGTTAATTTCTAAACCCAAACTATTTTCTTAAATCTATTTTACCCAAACCATTCCTATTTCACAATTTCCAAAACCCAATTAATTTCTACATCCCATAAGAGCCCTAAAAATAACTTAATGGAAAATTCATCAGTCTCTAAACCTGAAATCGCTCTGATACCAGTTGTAAACTTAAAAGCAAACTCATCAAAAGCAAAGAATCAATAATCAATTCATGTTTTTATGCCCTAAGTTGCACAAATATAAAATTATAGGATCTTGAAACTTGATAAATTTTCACATATATATAAAAGAAATACAAACCTGATTCTATAGTTTGAAAATTAAAACTTGAATCTTGATTGAATCAAAATAGACAGCGTTTCTCTCACTTTCTTCCCTTCTGTAATCGCAAACTCTCTCGATGGATAGAGAAAAATTTTAGCGTATATAAGGAATAGAGAGAAGATTCACCTTTTATATTGCAGTTATTTAATTAACTGCAAACATCAGTTATTTTATTAACTGATGTAACTTTTCCATCAAAGGTTAAATACCAATATGCCCTTCAATTAAATTAATTATTACTAAACCTTATATTATATTTAATTCACATAGACCACTTTATAAGAATTATAAATAATTCTAACATAAGAATGACAAACCACCACTAAGTGCTTGGTGGTAAAAGAGTAAAGGAGGATTTAAGTTTACATGATCTCCTAAGTTCAATCCCTCCAACCCCTAATAAGGGTGGTTATTAAAGTTCTTACCCGACAGGTTAGTTTCTCTGGACTATCTAAATACATACATTGACTTATATAACATACATGCATTGACGACGTTTGTTGCCTGAATTTTCTTCTAACTTTTGCTTATCATGACACGCTAGAGAATCAACCAAATATCATGAATTCTCCTAAAGTGCTTAAAAAAAGAAAAAAAAAAGAAGTCTTGATCAAATTAAACTCTTAAAGAAGCAAATTTTGAATGAATTGATGCGTTAACAGTGTTATTAATGATCTACTAGGTGCTATAATGAATAAAATTTAATTAATTGATACAAGATAATCAAAGAAACCAATTGAAAGTTTCATAAACCAAATGATCAATCAAGTCAACGATAATCAATAAGGAGAAGAGTCTTTGTTCATTGTTGGTCGGTGTGTCAAACAATTACATGGTCAATGATTGGAATCCACATGTTAGGAGCCTCCATTTTTGAAGCCATCTTTAAGGATTTACCTGGTCTCGTTGACCCAGTCCCAAAGACTAAAGTAAACGATGTCCTCCACATGGTTATTAATGACCATGAGCCAACTGCAGAAACTGCTGTACCACGGCCACTTAATTGGTTTAGCTAGAGATATATGGCACCAGCCGCGCCACCACCACCACCCAGCATGGCTACACGACTGGCCGCTCTGTTTCTGAGAATCCTTACATTTGCTTCTCTTTTCGTTTCCATGATCATACTTGTCACCAATTCTGGATACATAGACCTTCCTGTCTATGATTTAACTTTTAAAATTCGCTTCCAGGATATTTACGCCTACCGGTATTTCTCATCATCATTTTTATCTTCTATAACTTAAATTCTAGAGATGGGTTTTCAACTTAAATTCTAGAGATGGGTTTTCATTTTGCTTATTCTTTGCGTTCAGATTTTAAATTAATTGCAGATGCTTGCTACAACTGTCATTAGCATTGCCTACACAATCCTGCAAGTTGCTTTCTCATTGTACTATGTTAGCACTGGAAATCGTGTAATCAGTGGAGATGGGAGCTTCAAATTTGATTTTTATGGCGACAAGGTACAGTACCCCTGAACATTATATAGTAATTGTACATAATAACTGTTTATCTGCCATTTTAATTAAACATGATCGGACATTTTGTTGAATCTTGGTCAGGTTATTTCGTATGTGTTAGCCACAGGTGGGGCTGCAGCATTTGGGGTGACCAAAGATATGAAGGTTGTCTTTGCAGGATCAGGTAACAAGTTATTTGATAGGGGTTATGGCTGTGCTAGTCTCGTCCTCTTTTGGTTTGCCTGTACCGCTGCGTTATCAATTTACTCATCCTATGCTCTCCCTAAGCGATTTCAATAGTCGCTTAATTTACATAAATTCTGCAGTTATTGTTTGAAGTGGGTTTTAATTATGGTTTTATGACACTCTTGACTCTGTATCTTCTGTTCTTTGATTCTGTTTGAAGTTCATGCCATTCTCTATTAATCTCTGATCTGAAATGTAAGTGTATTAACTGAGCCTTAGCCCATAGTAAATAGTTCAAAGCCCAATGGAAAAGGATGTCAAGAAGTGGACCCAATAGAAAATAGAGCAAAGCGGAGTCCAATCCAAACTAAACTTTGGGTCTTCAAGTTATAAGTAATACCTCCTGGACTCAATTCTATAACATTGTCCAGGCCACAAATAGCGGATTAGTTGTGGATGGTAGTAAAAAAATTTAGTGAACCACTTGGACCAAACGAGTTGCCCCAAGCCAATATGGGCCGAAAAAATAAAGAGTGTAGAGAATTAGGCCCGAGTTCAGGCAATGAATGTGTTAAGAACTTAAGATCAAGCACAGAGAATTTTAGCTCCCATTTTTTATTTTTTTTGTCGTGAGTCTCCATCTTCACATAATTGTAATAAATAAAAATAATTATTTTTTCCTACGCTTAATCCATAGCTTTATAATTGAAGTTATCAAAATTAATAAAAAAAATTTAAATCAATAAAAAATTTCAATAATCAAAACCTCAGATCTCTTACAATTAATCATTTTAAATCCATCTTACTAGAATAAGAACATCAAAACTCTTACAATTAAGTACATACAAAAACCACACTTAACACAACTTTTATCTTCTCATAGAACAACCAAGCTCCATTTTGAGATCAAATTCAACGAGAGAAGAATTAATATACGGTTTGATCGCCTAAAGAATGCACAAAATACACTTGAATAGCTAGCTAACAAACATAAGACTCAATTTAGAAGAGGCTTAATTATTAAGCTTCTAATAAACAAACCGATCGTCATTTTGCGAGGAACTCCACCAGGAGACAAGTAAGAGTTATGGTTGGATCGCCTAAAAGAATGGCAGCAATGGTTTTGAAGAATACCTTCACAATCCTGATAAATTTGTTGCCACTCCTTTGATTTCTATTGTGACGTTGAATAGGCAGCTCCACTTTCTGCAAAGCCAAACTATAATCTTCGTTATAGGTCCCCTTGTCCCATCCCTCCAGCGCCATTTCTGTCGCACAATTCACATGAAAATGGAGCTTATTGCACTTGGACACATAGGTCCAGCCCCTGACACCGGACACAGTGCCTTCACGATTTTTCTTGTTGCACCAAAGGCACTTTGATAACACCTTATCACAGAGATCAAACTTAACATCATCAACACGTAACTTGCTGGGTAAGTTACGGCAGCATGGATGCAAATCCCACCCCTTTTTTTCATCGTGATAAACAAAACCTTTAATAGGTTTTCCACAGGCGTCACAGTATCTCTGACACTTTGCACAAGAGCAGTTCTGCGGAGGTTGAACGAAGAATTTGAAGGTTGAATTCTCGAAGAAGTCATGGTCAGTGGTGGTGCTAGGAAACATACATTCTTTATGAAGATCATAGTCGCACAGCTCACATCTGTATCGTGACCCAAATCCAGGCTCCTTGCACCCCTTGCATTTGTAGGTTTTTTCAAAGCTTTTGAGCTCGAGCTCATGGTCTGCGTGGCTAGGGTGAATCCTTCCCATTTGTGACTTTAGGACCTGCTCTAGGAATGTTTTTAAAACCGTGACCTGATCTAGCACCTATAATTTTAGTATAGCGGACAGTTACTCGAAGAAGAAGATTGAGCACAGGGAAAAATAGTATGAGAAGAGGAAGCAATGTTTTGATGGGCAATAATCCCCTGTGGTCCTATTTATATAGGGGTAACAAGAAGAAGTAACATCGAATTTCTGTCGTTAGGAGATTTCCTTTGTAGAAACACATAAATTACGTTACTCCACAGGAGTAATTTCAATGAAATTGTATTGAAAATACAAATATGGAGACTAGAGGGAAAGACAACAATGAATTTGGTTCTTCCCAGAAAATCTCTTCTTTGTCTTGTTGCTTTTGGACTGAAATCTAATGGTATCTGAATTATAAGATAGGAATTTTTCACAACAGCTAAACGTTTCGCTAGGGTTTTGACTGGTAGTTTTTGTAGGGCTCACACGTCCCATGTAAGTTAACTGGAATCAACCTCTACGCGCCCTCAGCATTCAATGGACGGCTACGGAGTAGAGATAATAAAATCTGCTGGGTCATTTAATGATGTTGAATAGTCCATTTGAAGCTGAAAACCTGAAGTTACTGAGGCCACATATTTCTAATATTAACAAAATTAGTTGATTTTGGTGACAAACACCGAAAATATTATCCGATTTTACTCCAATTCAACTGCCCGGCCGCGTTGTGTCTGAGAAGAAGAAACCAGCTTTCACTTTCACGAAACCCTTCAGAAATTTACATTCTGCCTTGTCGTCCAAGTTTACCAAATTTGGAAATTTCCGTTATAGCAATCTCAATAATTAGGGGTTAATTTATGACGTTAACTTACCCATAAACAAGATAGTTAGATAGACATCTGCTTCTTCAAGTTAAATAGTGAATGTTAAACGACATATTTTAAGATAGATTAACAAGCCCTTGCATTTTCACTACTTCCAGTTATTTAATCTCGCTCACAGAGTCACACAGTGCTTTTTTCTTATCTAACTTAATTGCTTTACTGAATTTTGCTTCAAGCTGATAAATACAAATACAGTATTAACATATATATAGTATTTGTCTCTTATTTATTAAATACTTAGGATACCCTTCAAAGCCAAATTAGCAAGGATTCTGATAAAACCCCAGGATTAACAAACAACAAGCAACCACAAAATCAGATAATGCACCAGTTCTCCAGTGTTTTCGCAAGATAGATTTGGAAGGATAGAATTGGATTGATATTAAGAACTGAAATTGGTAAAAACAGAGCAATTTCCCAGGGCTGAAATGAAAGAAAAATAACAGTAGATAAATCCCAGCAGTTCGGGACCTCCCTGTTCACACTTTACAATTTTCTCTCCTTTAACCCAAAAGGCTCCCTCTTTTATACATGAATCAGCTAACAACTTTTATTCCATTCTAACTAATTGGTTCACACGTCACCTGCCTCCAGCTTCTCTCCACTCAAGCATGTTTCTTCAATTCTATTCTATTGGCCTCTCTCCACTAACGCATGCTTCTCCAATTCCAACCAATTCTGTTAGTGGCTTTTTACCCTTGTGCCCTCTGTGCTGGTAAACCTTCTTGATAGAAGAGTGATGGTGTCGGCCAAATCCCACGTTGCTTCAAATGGGGCTAAATCCTTCCACTTAATAAGGACTTCTTGAGAACCATTCACTAGTGTGCGGACTGCCAAGACAGACTCCGGTTGAACCTACAGCTCCATGTCCTCTATGAGGCAGGATGGTAGAGGTTGGGTTGGAACTGAGCTGTGCAAACTGTTCTTGAGCTGAGATACATGAAAAACGGGATGAATTTTGGCTATTGAAGGCAACTCCAGCTTAAATGCAACCTGTCCAATTTTTTCCAAAACGGGAAATGGTCCATAAAAACACGGGCTCAACTTTTCATTGAGTTTAGAAGCTAGGGACCTGAAGTGGTAAGGCTGAAGCTTCAAAAACACTTGGTCTCCAGGCTGAAAGTTAACATCCCGGCGATGTGCATCTGCTTGTGATTTCATATGGTTCTAGGCATTACTCAGGTTATGTTTCAGTATGTCCAAGATGGAGTTACGATCGGCCATCTGCTGATTGACTTCTGCAACCAGTGAAGGATAGTTGGTGAAGCAGAGAAGAGTGGGCGAATCACAGTCGTAGAGTACTTTGAAAGGGGTCATCTTGATTGCACTATGAAAAGTGGAATTATACCAAAATTCGGCTCATGCTACCCACCGTGGCCATTGTTTAGGCTAGTTGCTACAAAAACAACAGAGATAGGCTTCTAAACAACGGTTAACTACTTCCGTTTGGCCGTCGGTTTGGGAATGGTATGCGGAACTGAATTTCAGCTTGGTACCGGCAGCTTTAAACAATTCTTACCAAAATAAACTGACAAACACTCAGTCTCTGTCTAATAAAATTGAGTTTGGAAACCCATGCAGTCGAACAACCTCCGAAATAAACAGATCAGCCACGTCCTTGGCCGTGTATGGGTGACATAATATAAGGAAATGACCATACTTAGTTAATCGATCCACCACGACCAATATCGTGTCGTATCCTTTGGCTTTGGGCAGCCCCCCAATAAAATCCATACTAATGTCGTCGAATACCTGGGTGGGGATGGGTAAAGGTTGGAGCAGACCAGCAGGCTTAAGGGTTGAATGTTTTTTCAATTGACAGGTGGAACACTATTGAACAAAAGTCTGAACATCTTTTTTAATTCCTTCCCAAAAAACCAGGTTCGTCACTCGTTTGTAGGTTCTAAAAAATCCAGAATGGCCCCCGGCAGGACTGTTGTGGAATTCCTCCAACAAACGCGGAATAAATTTAGAAGATTTGGGAATTACCAATCTGTTTTTGTTGAGCAGACAACCGCGGTGTAGACTATAATTCGGGTGACTCTGGGGATCAAAAAGCAAATCTTGGACGATAGTTTGAAGCTTCTCATCTTGCTGTGCTTCAGCCGCAAGATCATCGAATTCTAAGAAGACTTAGACAACAATGAATTCCATGTCTTCTCTGTGGGAGAGGGCATCAACCACGTGGTTTGAACTATCTGGTTGATACACGATCTCAAACGAGTAACCTAGAAGCTTAGAAATCCATTTTTGCTACTCAGGTGTTTTCATCCTCTGATCTGCTAGGAATTGCAGACTGTGCTGGTCCGTTTTGATAGTAAACTTTTGTCCGCTGAGGTAGTGACTCCATTTTTGAACCACGAACACTATGGCCATTAACTCTTTTTCATATACTGATTTTTGCTTGGACTGATGGGAAAATGCTTTACTGATGAATGCTATGGGATGCTGGTTCTAAAGTAAGACAGCTCCTAATCTTTGGCCCGATGCGTCCGTGTGGACTTCAAAAGGAAGACTGAAATCAGGAACAGCTAGCACAGGCACGGATGACATGGCTTTTTTTAGGTTATCAAAGGCTTTTTGGGCTTGTTCATTCCATCCGAAGGCGTCTTTCTGAAGTAGTTTAGTCAGTGGCTGAGCTATTGACCCATAATCTTTCACGAATCTACGGTAATATCCTGTTAATCCCAAGAATCCCCGCAACCCTTTGATAGTTTGTGGAACAAGCCAAGATAGCATGGATTCAACTTTGGTTGGGTCTGCATCCACCCCATCCGTAGAGATCAAATGTCCCAAATATTCAAACTTCAACTGACCAAATATACATTTTTTCCAGTTGACAACCAGCTCGTTGTCGATCAAGATTTANTCACCTGCCTCCAGCTTCTCTCCACTCAAGCATGTTTCTTCAATTCTATTCTGTTGGCCTCTCTCCACTAACGCATGCTTCTCCAATTCCAACCAATTCTATTAGTGGCTTTTCACCCTTGTGCCCTCTGTGCTGGTAAACCCCCCCCCCCCCCCCCCCCCGAAGCCCCGAAGAACCACCTTGTCCTCAAGGTGAAAGTGAGGAAATTGAAGAGTGATGGTGTCGGCCAACTCCCAAGTTGCTTCAAATGGGGCCAAATCCTTCCACTTAATAAGGACTTCTTGAGAACCATTCACTAGTGTGCGGACTGCCAAGACAGACTCCGATTGAACCTGCAACTCCATGTCCTCTGTGAGGTAGGATGGTAGAGGTTGGGTAGGAACCGAGCTGTGCAGACTGTTCTTGAGCTGAGATACGTGAAAAACGGGATGAATTTTGGCTGTTGAAGGCAACTCCAGCTTATATGCAACTTGTCCAATTTTTTCCAAAACGGGAAATGGTCCATAAAAATGCGGACTCAACTTTTCATTGAGTTTAGAAGCCAGGGACCTGAAGCGTAAGGCTAAAGCTTCAAAAACACTTGGTCTACAAGCTGAAAGTTAACATCCCGACGATGGGCATCTACCTGTGATTTCATATGGTTCTGGGCAGTACTCAAGTTATGTTTCAGTATGTCCAAGATGTAGTTACGATCGGCCATCTGCTGATTGACTTCTTCAACTAGTGAAGGATAGTCGGTGAAGCGGAGAAGAGTGGGCAGATCATAGCCGTAGAGTGCTTTGAAAGGGGTCATCTTGATTGCACTATGAAAAGTGGAATTATACCAAAATTCGGCCCATGCTACCCACCATGGCCATTGTTTAGGCTGGTTGCTGCAAAAACAACGGAGATAGGCTTCTAAACAACGGTTAACTACTTCCGTTTGGCCGTCGGTTTGGGGATGGTATGAGGAACTAAATTTCAGCTTGGTATCGGCGGCTTTAAACAATTCTTGATAAAATAAACTGACAAACACTCAGTCTCTGTCTGATACAATTGAGTTTGGAAACCCATGCAGTCGAACAACCTCCGAAATAAACAGATCAGCCACGTCCTTGGCCGTGTATGGGTGACATAATGGAAGGAAATGACCATGCTTAGTTAATTGATCCACCACGACCAATATCATGTCGTATCCTTTAGCTTTGGGCAGCCCCCCGATAAAATCCATACTAATGTCGTCGAATACCTGGGTGGGGATGGGTAAAGGTTGGAGCAGACCGGCAAGCTTAAGGGCTGAATATTTGTTCAATTGACAGGTGGAACACTGTTGAACAGAAGTCTGAACATCTCTTTTAATTCCTTCCCAAAAAACTAAGTTCGTCACTCGTTTGTAGGTTCTAAAAAATCCAGAATGGCCACCGGTAGGACTATTGTGGAATTCCTCCAACAAACGTGGAATAAATTTAAAAGATTTGAGAATTACCAACCTGTTTTTGTAGAGTAGACAACCGCGGTGTAGACTGTAATTCGGGTGACTCTGGGGATCGAAAAGCAAATCTTGGACGATAGTTTGAAGCTTCTCATCTTGCTGTGCTTCAGCCGCAAGATCATCGAATTCTGAGAAGGTAGCTACTTAGACAACAATGAATTCCATGTCTTCTCTGCGGGAGAGGGCATCAGCCACATGGTTTGAACTACCTGGTTGATACACGATCTCAAACGAGTAACCTAGAAGCTTAGAAATCCATTTTTGCTGCTCAGGTGTTTTCACCCTCTGATCTGTCAGGAACTGCAGACTACGTTGGTCCTTTTTGATAGTAAACTTTTGTCTGCTGAGGTAGTGACTCCATTTTTGAACCGCGAACACTATGGCCATTAACTCTCTTTCATATACTGATTTTTGCTTGGACTAATGGGAAAATGCTTTACTGATGAATGCTATGGGACGCTGGTTCTGAAGTAAGACAGCTCCCAATCCTTAACCCGATGCGTCCGTGTGGACTTCAAAAGGAAGACTGAAATCAGGAACAGCCAGCATAGGCACGGATGACATGGCTTTTTTTATGTTATCAAAGGCTTGTTGGGCTTGTTCATTCCATCCGAAGGCGTCTTTCTGAAGTAGTTTAGTCAGTGGCTGAGCTATTGACCCATAATCTTTCACGAATCTACGGTAATATCCTGTTAATCCCAGGAATCCCCGCAACCCTTTGATAGTTTGTGGAACAGGCCAAGATAGCATGGATTCAACTTTGGTTGGGTCTGCCTCCACCCTATCCGCAGAGATCAAGTGTCCCAAATATTCCAACTTCATCTGACCAAATATACATTTTTTCCGGTTGACAACCAGCTCGTTGTCGATCAAGATTTGGAAGGTGTATCGCAAGTGAGTGAGGTGGGCTTCTAGGTTGGGGCTGTAGACTAGGACGTCGTCAAAAAATACCAGTATAAACTTCCTTAAAGCTGGTCTGAAAATGGTGTTCATTAGAGCCTAGAAAGTAGAGGGAGCGTTAGTCAGTCCAAACGGCATGACCATGAATTCATAATGCCCCTCGTGAGTTCCGAAAGCTGTTTTCGGCACATCCTCGGGCTTAACTCTAATCTGATGATATCCGGATTTCAAATCCAACTTAGAAAAAACTGTCGCTCCAGCCAACTCATCTAGCAACTCATCAATTGAAGGTATGAGAAATTTGTCGGGTATAGTTATGTTGTTAAGGGCACGGTAGTCAACACAAAAACGCCAGCTTCCATCTTTCTTTTTAACCAACAGCACCGGGCTTGCAAAAGGGCTAACACTTGGTTGTATTATTCCGGACATCAGCATTTCACCCACCAACCTTTCGATCTCATTTTTTTTAGTGTAGGAATATTTGTAGGGACGTAGGTTAGGGGGTTTGGAGGATTGTTGGAGGGTTATGGCATGGTCAGTTGGTCTCCTTGGTGGTAGACAAGAGTGTTGGTCAAACAATTGGTGGAATTCATTAAGTAATGCAACAACTTCCGGCTCCATGGTTTCACTCTGCTCTTCGACTTTCCTCTCAATAGAACAAAACTCAACTACATACCCTACACCCTCACTCTGTAGTGTCTTGAGTAGACTTGGCAAAACGGGTGGGCGGGCCGGGTACGGTCCGGGTCAAACAAGTACGGGCCTTTATACGGGTCGATATATACATTGGACCCGTGCCCTACCCTAGAAGGGTACGGGTGGACCCGCGAGTGGACCCGTTTTTTCTCTCTCCAGATTTTAGTTTTTACAGTTTCATACCTAACAGTTTTCAATTATGATAATTACACCCCCAAAATCCTACAGTTTTAATTTTTTACATTTACACCCCCTAAATGAACTACTCTAAATTCAATTCAATTAAGAATATAAGCAAATAGGAACCAAAATAAACAAATAACACATAAACAAACAACAACATATAATACAAAACTACAAATACCAACCAAAATAAACAAATACAAAATCACTAATACACAATTACACATAAACAAATAAAATAAGTCAATAAACTATAAATACCAACTAAAATAAACAAATACATAATCCAATATTCAACAAAAACCATTCTTAGGACAGCAAAAATTACAGTGGGCGTGATAGAGTCTCTTGATTCCACAGTCTCGAGATCAGTCAATGCCTCAATGGCATATCAAAATCATCATCCGAATCATCATTCACCTCATCATCTACAAAACAATGATCAACTACAAATATTAATAAATGTAAATAATAAAATATAAGAAATATTATGTTAATATGTTAGTTTTGAAGAATTGAACTTTTTTTATTTCTGAAATGGCCACACTTATTTAGATATTCAACATCCAGTGCCTTGTCTAAAATACTTTTGAGGACCTATTGTTTTTCTCAAGTTTATTCAATGTCTATACACTCACTTCATTGAACCCCAAACACCAATTTAATTAAATCCAAAACCCAAGCCCTATATCCATCAATTAACACTACATATAATATGTCAAACTCTAATTTGATCACATATGCAGATAATATAATCAAAGTATATATATATATCAAAAAGTAATGAATTATATTATGCATGCGAAAATGTGTATCTCATGGAAATAAAAAGGGGCCACCGAATATTTAAAATGCAGTACTCAAGAACTCAATACAATTTCCACTCAAATTGCCTTAACTTCCAGCATTTTAAAACACCATGAAATCAATTTTCTCAAAGACATTCCAGTTGGGAGCATGCAAGTGTATTCAACCAACCAACCCTTAAATCAAATACATAACTCAAGCATCTCCCAAATGTTGTCCAGCCGAGTGCATGCAATTAAAGTATCCAGCCAATATCACAATTTATTGAAAGAACCAAATGCATGCAAGTTCAATTAGCAAGCAAATTACATTCCATTTTAAAACTCAAATTCAACATGCAGCAGTATAGACTAGCAAAATTTCATGCTTACAAAAAGATTCTAGTAGCCAAACATAATTCAACCAACTTCCTACTATATCCTAGCCGAGTGTAAGCAAATAGGATGTCCAACAAAATATTGAATTAAAAACACTATTAAGTCATTTTCTAATATAACCTCCAGCAAGCTTAACAATTAAGAAGAAGAACCAACTCAAGCATTTTCTAATATCTTGTCCAGCCGAAAATATATTTATGCAAATAAAAATTTCCAACAACATCACCAAGAGACAGAGTAGCCGAAAGCAATGGAACTAACATCCCACAACATCATGTTTAATATCAATTTCTTTGCACAACACATGAAAAGCAAATCAAAACTNACAAATCAATAAACATTCAAGCAATGCAACAATAATTTAACTACATACCTCAAGTGGGGAGTTACATGATGTATCCTCCTACTAGCTCATGAGCTAAACCAACATTAGACTCAACATCAACTTTGTCCTTGTCATCGCTAGAGTTGGCATCAACCAATATCAAACCATTATCCATGTCTCACTCCATGGCCTTCACTTTCCCTAGAAGCTCAGGTGGGGCTTTCTCCCCATTGTTCTCAACAAAGTCTTGAACATACTGAGAAAAATTAACTAGTAGGGATTGTAAGACTATGCCTATTGCTAAACCATCATCAATAAGACATCTCATCACATCCAATGCTTCAATGTACTCTAACATCTTGAGTACATAAGGCCTTACTTTGGCACCGTTAGCCATCTTGCAACTGAATAAATTACGTGACACCCTAAACCTCTCGGTTTGACAGAGAATCAAGACCATGGCAGATAAATCCATGTTCTCACATTGTTTTTGTAGTTTGGGTGTCAACAACAATAGCATGAGAAACCTTACATGATTAATGTTGAATTCATGCTGATGTTGTGCATAAACGTCCCTTGGTTCCTGGGAGGAATCATCATCAAGCTCTAAAGCTTGTTCCATGGTATATAATTCATCATTAGCCTCAAGTATAGACTGAAAATGTCTATACCAGCTTATGAAATTATTACCACCATTATACTTATTTTCTCTCTCATAGAGCAGTTGCAATGATAGGTTGTTTGTTGTCATTTTGAGATTTCTACAAGTGCAAAATAAGTGAGTTAATAGCATGATATAATATTTAATTAACCAAGGTCTTTTAATTAATTAAACGGTCCCACTATTTTTACTTAAGTCTTAATAGCCCCTACTATTAGGCTCAGGAAAGCCCGTTGGCATTCCTAGTGGGCCAAGATCCCATCAATTCCATTTTTAACCTTCGTTGATCGAAAAGCCAAAAACGGGTTGATCTAGGTAAGCCTCAAATTTAATTTATACTAGCTAATGGCGCCGACCACTAATCCTCAAATATAAATTGTGCAAACAAACCAATTACACAATCCAATGGCGTCGACCATTGACCTCGAGTGCAACTCTTGGATCCATAGAGTAGATACTACATATCTCCCGTGAATTTGAAAAATTGCACTTTCTCTACATTTGCCTCTAGTACGTCTTTGACCTTTGTTGATCGAAAAGCCAAAACTACTAGTTAAGTCTAACCTGACATCATTAAGGAAAAGCTCCAATGCAATTTAGCTTCCAATTGATAAAAGCATATCCTTCGTTGATCGAAAAGGTAACAACGATCTGTGGTTTGACTAAGTCCATGATGTTGGAAGGCGTTAATAGACTTAATATCATTTATGATGGATTTTTACTCTTTTGGTCTCATTAGTTTTATTTTATTAAACATATTATATCCATAACATTCAACCTTAGCATACCAACTAAAGCAATAAAGATAAAGTTGTTGGTGCATTGCCTTAACTAAACCAAATTTCCCAATCCTTGGGAAATTTGTATGTCAACCTAGGTAATTAAATTACAAGAGTATTTTCAATTAATAACCCTCCTTCTTTAATCCAATGCTCCTTTTTCTCCATCAATACTCTAATTAAATATAACTTAACCTTTACATCAATAAACAGAAACCTTGATTTACATTCGAGGGGAGTAAGATGAGAGAAAGAATTACAAGAGATTAAAAGAAAGGCAAGGCATGCAAGCCTTATTTAAATTGAAATTACAATCCTCAAATTTAACTAGGTCTAACGGCAAATGCAGCCAACACCATAAAATTTCATCTCAAGAATATGCATGTAACGATCAATCAAAAACAGAATCTTTGATCATTTGGTAAATTACACTTTTTTGTACCCAACAAGTTGTAAACTTTTTAGTTTAGTCCCTTGTTGCTAGGCCTCTCCAAATTAGACTTTCAGAATTAAAATAACATGCATCAAAAATATTTATAAATTCTAGAACAACTCTATGTGAAACAACACTTAAAACAACCAAAATGAACCCCTCCTACACAAATGCATGAGCTACCCAAAACCAAGGTTTTAAAACCCAACCCAGGGAGTGACTTGCTCAGGTCACCGGGTCATCAGATTGCTCGATTCAACCGATTCAATCATCGAGTTGAACCAGTTCAACCTTCGGGCCGAATCATGATGTCATCATGCTAATGTCAGCGTGATGACATCATTTTGACATGAACATGACATATAAAAAAATAAAAAAATAATAAAAAACAGTTCAATCGTTGGGTCGAACCGGTTGGACTCGGTTGAAGCATGGATTCGGAACCCTAGCCGTATGAGTGGGTACAGTCCTCAACTACATGCACTTCTAACAAATTGTACAAATTCTTCTTTCTTATTTTGAGGTCGCTAACTAAAGGTGGCGTGCATGTAGGTATGATCTGCTGGGTACAGTCCTCATCCACATGCACTTCTAATAGACTGTATAAATTCTTTTTTCTTATTCTGAGGCCACTCACTAAAAGCGGCATGCACGTGGGCTATTCTTCTTCTCGGTCACTCATGGGTTCCCTATCGCAACAACCTTCTCTTCTCTTATCTTCTTACATTTCTTTAAATAAAATTTCAGATTTGAACTTCTTTAATTATGTTCTTTAGAGGATGATTCTAAAATTTATTTCTTTTATTTATTTCTCTTTATTCTTTAATGTTCTCATACATGTGTATGTGTATGGAAATATGCTCATTCTTTGCTATTCTTTCTAAATGCAAATGTGAGAATGTGAGAACACATAATGGCATATAAAGATATCATTATGGAACTAGTATTCTCTACCAATAACATTCCCATACGTGAAATTAATCATAGATTATTAGACTAAAAATAAACTAATAAATTGGAAGCACTTTTGAGGTAGTCATTCTGCACAGGTCATATTCAAGAAGACATATCTCGAGTTATACACATTAGATTTCTATGATCTTAGTCTCATTTTAAGGATTAGAGAAAGGGCTATAACTTTTATGTTTATGTCTCAACCCAATTCGATAGGTAAGATGCCCAAAAATCACTCAGAAGGCCACATATTTGATAGGGCAACCATGGTAACATGCCTACTTTAAGGCTTTTCCACACCTATTTACCTCCACTTACTCCCTAACCTTTCCCAACCATTCTCCCCTGTGACTGTAATACCTCTTTCTAGCTAGTATACTCGTAAAATAATCAATAAAACTCATTAAAAATATATATAAGAAAATACACATATAAACGAGTAACAAAGTATGGGTCCATATTTAATTTTTCTTTATATACAAATATACTCAAAATATACTCAAAAATAGAAACTTGACAATGTAGCCCAACCCTTCCACTGCGTGATGTTCCGAGTGACCACAACTCACCTATTACTTGCAAAACATTAAAAACAACAGAGTGAGCACTAATTGCTCAGTAAGTAAACCCGTTATGCTACCCTTCTCTCTCCATTGCTTAAGTCTTGAATTTTCTTTCCTTACATCTCATTTCCCGATTATTCTCTATTCTTTCTTTGCTCTTCTCTCTGTTCTTTCTCTGTTTTTTCTCATTCTTTCTTTGTTTTGCTCTCTGTTTTTTTCTCTCTACTCATGATAAGGAGCATGATTATGCATAATCATGATGCAAATGTACAAATGCATAAATTATGCATTTTCGTTTCTATTTTTTTATTCTGTTTTCTTTTTCTTTTTCTTTATTTCTTTCTATTCTTTCTTTCTTTTCTATTATTTCTTTGTTTCTTTCTTTTCTTTCTTTCTTTTCTATTCTTTCTTTTCTTACCGATCGGACTCGGTTGAGGATGGATTTGGAGCCTTGGCCGTGTGAGTGAATTCTCTAATTTTGGGTATAGCACTACAACAAAAGTAGCCTATGGTAACATACAAAAAGTGTTACCGTAGGTAATTGGTAGCATTTATAAGGATGCTGTGATAGCCCGTGTTACTAAAAAGTAGACAGTGGTAACACTTTTTGCATGTTACCTATCATTTTAGTAACTGTTATAAAATGTTGTTGTTAAGTATATTGTAACACTAATTCATAGTTACGAATGATTTTTGGTAACACTACATAAATGCTACAAATAAGTTTTTTGTAACATTCTTAACCTGTTACAATTTAGTTTTCTGTAACATTATCAAAATGCTATAAATAAGTTTTCTGTAACATTCTTAATATGTTATAGTTTAGTTTTTTGTAACATTTTTACAATGTTATAGATTGGTTTTTCTTAACATTGTGAAGATGCTATAGAAGAGTTTTTAATAACATGTTAAAAGTGCTACCAAAGTATCATTCATTGTATTTAGTAACTGTTACAAAATTATTTTCCATTACATTTTGAAAGTNGGTGCGTTCATCAAATTAAACCCTACCAAATTGCAGTACCCAGCAATGGTGCAACGCGGACCCGTGTTTTCATGGACTCAGTCATGGATGTGGACTTCACACGTTTTGGTCTGAGAGATTATTGAGAGGAAGATGCTTAATTATATATAATAATTCTTATTCATAATACTAGTGAAACTATATACGGGAAATTATTCAGCAATTTCTATTCCAATATGGGGCCTTAATCATAGCTTTTGCCACACGTTTGTTCTAACACGCCTGTTTAGAAACGGCAACTATTTACATTTTGAGCCAATCAGGTTCGTTTTAAGCTTTGTCTAGTAACGGGCTGAACTTACATCATAAGTATATAAGTTAAAGACTTTTTCTACTCGAATAATGGTTTAACAACACTTTCTCACCCATAAACTTTTAAAATATCATTTTATTATCAAAATTTATACTTCGATAGTGAGCAGAGAGCAAACTATATCAAGATTGTTGGATTTTTTAAAAAGGGAGACCGATGAGTCTTTTTTATGGTGAAATATTGAATTTTGATGATTGGAATTGATCGAAATTTGACTTGGAAGAGACGATTGTGCAAATCATAATCGCTCATTTGTCAGTGATTTGAGGAGTTGACGGCTGTAAAATTTAAGGGGTTTTGATGAATGATGGTCGAGAAAGAGAATTGTGGTGGTGTGAGGTTGTAACGATGTCAAAATCTAAAATGAAATATAAATTTGAGTAATAAAATGATATTTTAAAAGTCTGTGGGTAGAAAAGAGTCATTAAACTATTATTTGGGTGGAAAT